CTGCCGGAGGCTTATACCACCGCCAGCGTAGCCTGCAACCTCAGAAGGGTGCATAAGCTTCTCCCCCACTAAAATGATTTAGATGAGCCTTTCTCTCCCAACTTTTTCCCCCAGCCTCCTACACTCAAACCCAAGGACATTCCCTTGCCCTAAATGCACTTCCAAGATGCTATAATTCCAAAACAAACCATTCCTGGGCAGAAGCCGCAAGCGAGCCAAGCCCAACACATCCCACCCTCACTGCGACAATGCCGGAACAGAAAGCGATCCCGACACACCCCCGGGCGGGGCAGACACACAGATAAGGGGTCCCCGCACCCACCCGGGTCTCAGGCACCTCCCACGACCCCAGCCCAGCCTAAACCCCCTTGACCCCCAGAAAAATCCACTACTCCCTTAGCCTCCCCCCCACCGAGTCACCACAGGCCCCTCATTGTACCGCCCACCCATGGCCCTCCAAATGGGACTGCCTCTGGGAATCCCACTGACCCAGCCAGTCCCCCTCTCCCAAACGGGACTGCCCCACCCACCCTCTCGCTGGTCTGGGGATCCCTCAGGCCCACCTAGTCCCATCCACTGGACTGATTACATGGCTAATGTATCTGTTCTTGAACAGGCAGCAGTCACAAGTATTGAGGCCATGTTGCTGAGAACACAGCTGTGCTGGGCAGGGCACGTCTCCAGGATGAAGGACCAACCACCACCTCCCTAAGATCTTGCTTTATGGTGAACTTGCCACCGGCTGCCGCAAGAGAGGAGCCCCGAAGAGGAGATTCAAGGACTCCCTGAAACAATATCTCAGCTTTGGTCATATTGATCATCATCATTGGTCTACTCTGGCCTCCAATTGGGAGACATGGAGACACACTATACATAATGCTGCTGCTTCTTTTGAGAACACATACAGAATCTTTTCTTGAGGAGAAAAGATAACATAGAAAGAACCATGTCTTGCCAATACCACCTAAGGAGACATTCCGCTGTGCCTTTTGGAACTGGACTTGTCTACCTTGCATTGGCCTTTTTTAGCCATCAGCGCGTTTGCAGCAAGTGTGGGTAGAGTCCTTCTTAAATCTTTGTTCGTGAAGCCCAGCCATGAGTTACTCCATGATAGAAAGCCACTGGGTTGGTCAGGCAGGACTCACTCCTCGTGAAGCCATACTGGCTGTCTCCAGTCACCTCCCTGTCCTCCATGTGCCTTAGCATAGGCTTTAGGAGGGTCTGTTCCATGATCTTCCCAGGCAGAGTTGAGGCTGACAGGCCAGTAGTTCCCAGGGTCATCCTTTCTTCTTTATTTAAAGATGGGTACTATGTTTTCCTTTTTCCAGTCACCTGGGACTTCCCCTGACTGCTACAAGTTTAAGAGTATCCTGGAGGCTGGCTTGGCAACTACATTAGTGAATTCCTTCAGGACTCTGAGATGCATCTCATCGGGTCCCACTGACTTGTGAACATTCAGGTTCCTCAGGTGCTCATGAACCTGATCTTTGCTTACAGTGGGAGGGACTTTGCTCTCCCAGTCCTTATTCTGCTGTCCATCCACTCGAGAGGTGTGGGAAGAGAGGCTGCCTTTGAAGATTGAGGCAAAAAATTTTTAAGTACCTCAGCCTTCTCTTCATCTGTTGTTACTGTTCACCAGAGTTGTTTATGAGACGGGGTACACCTTCTTTGACCTTCCTTTTCTGATTAATGTACCTGTAGAATCCTTTCCTGTTATTCTTTGCCTCACTTGCCAGGTTCAGTTGCAGTTTTGTCTTGGCCTTCCTCACCCTCCCTACACAGTTGTATTTCTCCATTCTCTGTTACCTGTCCTAGTTTCCACTGTCTATGCATTTGCTTTCGTCCCTTTATTTTGGCCAGCAGTTCCCTACTCAGTCATGCTGGTCCCTTGCTTTCCTTGCTTGATTTCTTGCTCCTGGGGATCACTTGCTCTTTTGACCTATGGAAGACTTTTTTAAAGATCTGCCGGCTCTGTTCCACTTCCTTGTCCCCGAGGGCAGTCTTGCGGGGGATCCCTCTGACTATCTCCCTGAAGAGCTTGAAGTCTACCTTCCTAAAGCTCAAGACCCTGACTTTACTCCTTATCTGACTTGTATTCCTCAAGACTGCAAACTCCACCAATGCATGATCACTGCAAGGCTCCGTCCAATCTTGACACGCCTCATTAGCTCGCTTATGTTGGTGACCATCAAATCTACTATTGCATTCCCTCTGGTAGGGCTGTCTGTCACCTGGCTTAAAAAGTTATCCCCCATGCAGTCCAGGAATCTCCTCAATTGCCTACAGCTTGCCTGATCTTTAGACTGTCAAACACATATGAAGTGGAGTACTTCAGAATTCCTATGATTTGACTTGGATACAATCAGAGACCTTTAGCTGCAGCATTGAATTTTTTACCAGCAATCTCTGACAATCAGTAACATCTTAGAAGAGAGTATCAGTAGTATCTTAGAAGAAAGCCATATTGCATGTGCCCTGCATTTTTCAATCTGCCTTACCAGATTGCACTTTTAATTGCTAGCAACTGGGATTTTTGAGGATATGTGCCTGCATTAGGATGTCATAAAAAACAAGAAACTGAGAAGAATTCTCAAGACAAATAAAGCCCATATGCTTTTGATCATGGGTAGGGTTAAAATACATTGTTTTCTCTGGAAAAAATCCTAGAAAATTAAGAAGGCAACATTTTTCTGTGCAATAAAAGAAACAAGAGTGGATGAGGAAGAAAGGATGAGTTTGTTTATGAAGTATTTGCTCAGGGCACTAAATTAAGGCTCTGTTTCTGAATTTAATTATAATATTTTCTAACTTTCTGAGATTTACGCAACTTGTGCAATGTGTCACACAGCACATGTTCACCCAATGCTACAGGCTGTCATTAGTAAGCTTCAGAAGTCAAACCCTCTTCTGAGGGTACCATAGTCTTCATTCTCCTGTTCCATACCTATGCATCCTCTTCCGGCTGGGTGACAGGCTTCCCCTTGCCCACCCCAGCAGGTCTCTTGCTTGCTCTTCTGTTCTCTCACATGGCGGCTTTTCTCCACAATCTGCACAGTCCCAGCCCAGACTCTTCTCTAGCAGATTTTCATGTTTTAGGAGTGGTATTTTCTATTTTAGTACTAGTGCTAAAAAAACCCCCCACACCACTCCCCCTCCTCCTTCTCCTATTGGAGGCACAAAGGGCAAACATCATGGTTGGGATAAGAAAAATTTACTGGAAACAGCAGCGAGATAAGAAAACAAACAGTAACAGCAGCAATACTAATAACAAAAGGTATAAGAAAATAAATTATTCACATGGACAAACATTCCAAATAACAGACAATAGCAGACGGCTCCCTCCACCACATTTTCTCCACCAGCAGGAACCCCTTCTCCTTCCTCTGCCCCCAGTAATGATGTGAGGTGATACAGAATAACATCAGGGTCCTGGCCATGCCCCTCCCGGCTACTGCAAAAATTAACCCTGTCCTGGCCAGATCCAGGACACAGATCATCCTACCTGAGGGTTCCTTTTTCTAGATTCTTATATTGATACTGCCTCCAGTTTACCTACTGGCTAGATCTTGGCCATTTAAATCCTCAGTCCACCTCCTCCACTCCCCCTCATCCTTGCAGCTCTAGGAACACTTAATGCCAGGGAAACCTTGTAAGTTATGCAGGCCTTTTTCTCCCCCAGTCCCAGCTGTGCATCTACACTTTTTGCAGCAGAAGCCAGAAGCTCTAAGCACAACCCTTCATTGCAGTGCAGCTTTCACAACAACAAGCATCTTGGGTTGGGTGCCCTCCCTGCCTCTGAAGTACAGCTCTGAAGTATCTCAAGTCAGACAGTCCAAAAATAACCCACCTTGAAAGGTAGTTCCTTTGTCTGAAAACATAGCTCTTCATTTTTACAAGACAAACACAACATAAGGGTTTTCAAAATGGATGTTACTCAATTTTATTTCTAATATATCAAGCCTGTCAGTTCTTTTGTGAGTAAAATGAGTGACAGGGTTTACAAAGAGTATTAGCTCTAAAATACTGCACTGTCTTGGGGTTCGAAGAAGCAATTAAATTATGTAGTTGGGAGAACAAATAATCTCAAAGCAGAAAGCATACTTTCAGTTTTCAATGTAAACAAATAAAAGAAAACACTCCAAGAATGATGTGGTAACATACAGATCTAAATCATACAGGCTGTTTGTGCTCCTGTATAATTTTGCTGCATTGCATAAAGCATTTGAAGTGAAGAGTTGTCACCAATTACCACTGAACCCACATCTCATCCTTCCTCATAAATTAGCAGAACTGTAAAGCTGAAACCATTACAAGCTTCTTAAACACTTAAAATAGGCCATTTATTATTCTGCCCCTTTGGCCAGCAGGTTAGTTCTGCAAATACTGCAAATTGATTCCAGAAGAATAGAGAGGTTGTACCTTCTCTACTTAGAAGGGTTTTCTTTGTAGCAGAAACGCGTCACTACAGAACTAGTTCTAGCTGTTGTGCTAGGATATACCATTTCCAGTCAAAACATCACATTTGTACTTTTGAATTAACCTTCTCAGCTTAACTCAAGGTCACTTCATTTTCTCCTTCATCATCCCACTTTCCCTCACAATCCCCAGAATCTCATGGTACTTCTAGTTCCTGCCACGTTTCATTTCGCTTCATACCTCCTCAAAAGCCCTTTCAGTCTTTTCACATTTCTAGTCAACTTTCTTCTAACTGGTCTTCTGGTTCCCGCAGGTCTTGCCTGAGATTTTCCTTCTGCTTATGTCTTTCACGCTTTGCAGATGTCTGTGCAAGCTCTTCTCTGTGGCTGCAGAACTACTCTTGAAACAGGCCCATGTGCAAAAGCTGCACCTCAGACCTGCACTCATGGTTGCTTAGAGTGGAACACCCAGACATGCTGTGCTGGTGTGTCCCGTGAGGGCAGGCTGCCATGGCAGCTTCTGAGACAGAGCCGTGAGACTCCTTCAGTGCAAACCCAGTAGTCCCTTTCTTTTCCCTCTCTGACAAATCTCCAGAGCTAATGAAGACAACAGACCAAGACCTTATCTGCTCTGCTGCTACAGACAATCTCTTGGACCAGAATACCGGAAATAAACCCAGCAAGTGTTGGGTTTTTTTATCATTTGCCTATCATGAAGAAAAACAGCTGGTGATATATCCTACCTTTTTCAATTTGGTGTCATCTTTCAGAAGATAAAGTTTTGCAGAAACTTCTCTTCAACTGGAAGCACCTCTTGATGTCTTACATTTCTGGTACAGAATGACAGGTCTGGTATACACTTTGAATGGTGACTAATTGACTAGTTCAAAGTAAAGAAAAGATTTGCTAAAGATATCCCCAAAGTAATTTTGGATTAATTTACTTTCTTTTACTTCAATAAAAGCATGCTGTTACAGTACTGTGTCCCAGGGTTCACAGTGAATGCCAGTGAATGCTACAACAAAGCCTGCTGTATTTGCATATGCAATTAATGCTGCATATGGTAGCATTCAATCTGTTAGTTATCTCTTTAAACAGTGTTCAGTAATCTGCACTTCAAGAAGTAACATACCACGCAAAGCTTTTAAAGTACTTAATAAACATATTTCATTAGTCTTCAGCAACTTCTTAAAGGTGCACTTTATCATCTTTACTCTGCCAGTGGATAAAACTTTACATAAAGAATTAATGTAAAATTTTTCAAAGACATTTTGTGTTTAACCCTTTATAAGGCTTAATAATTTGGTTGTACATCAAGGTCCCCGAAAGGAATCGAAAAGGTCCAAACACGAGCAATGGAAACAACTAATGCATGAGAGTATTTCTACATGAGGAGAGATCAGACAGAGTTAGTTAAAAGAGAATGAACATATGGCAGAGGAGGCATGAGCAACCAGAGCAAAACTTGCCAGTGCCTCTTCCTCATGGTTGAACAGAGAGCTGCAGGAAGATGCACTGCAATGAAGAACAGGTCAGTTCAGAGGGAACAACACTACACACATCTATTGCAAACACATCCCTATAAGAACTCTGTAGGGCAAGAGAGGGCTGGGGTCTGGGCCAGGCCTATGGACACAGAGCCAGCCAGGGCAGTGCTCAGCAAAAGCATCTCCCATCCCTGAGGCTGAAGATCTGGTTGTGGGATGGGGGAGATGTCTGGAATATATCTGTTCCCTTCAAAACCACTCATGCTCCAAATAAAAGCAGAATGCCATCTGCATAACTATACAAAGTGAAGATAACTATTATGTTTGCTAAAATACACTTCTTGAATCAAACCTGCTTTAGGTTATTAACAAACAATTTATGGTGCAGGACTTAGAAAGTACCTCCCAGATGAGAATATCAATTCAAAGCTGTTGGGGAGGATTTTTTTTTACCCCTACCATTTCTCTTCCACTGAGGTTTCCTTCTCCTACCTCTGCAGCTGTCACTGTAAGTCATCAGGCATCAAGGAGAAAAGCATGAGATGCCTGGCTGTATCTGTGCCTGTCAGAAGAATAGTGGGAACACAACAGGCTTGCAGCCAGAGGGGAGTGGCCTGAAGTTTGCATGCAACTTTTCCAAGTGCTCTGAAGAAGGTCATCTGGCCTGTTGTCATGAGAGCTGTAAAGAGGGGAATTTGACTCCTGAAAGTAGTTGGTTTCTAAAATCAACAAACTACCTCAAAGATGAGCATCTGAAATCCATACTTTAGGAGAAGGTGCTAGCTGGGAAAAAAACTGTCTCCTATAATAGTAGAGAGTTAATAATCCAGACTGCCATAATAGGAAGATAAAAGGAATGCAGCTTTTTGTGTGTGTTTGAACATGTGAAAAAATGACCTTGAGCAACAAAGACAGCCACCTCTAGGAAGTAGTAGCATACAGACATGCCTGGAAAAAACCCATGATATTGCAACCAAGGTTGTTGAATTCAGTAATTTTTTTCTCATAGGATGTAGAAAAAATAAGTAGAAAATGTATAATCCAAACTGGATTCAAACTGAAAGTATAAAACCTGATAAAATCAATGACATGGGACTGGATTTTTTTACAGGGAAGGAAGAGGTTAGAGGATACTTATCTAAGTCAGAGGGTTTGAAATTGGTTGGACTTGATGTTCATACTCAGCTGATCAATTCTCAGGGCTGTCAACAGTTATTTGCAACCCAGTGTTCTTCAGAACAGGGATAACTGAGACAAGATAAACATACTTCCTGTCTTTACAAGAGGTGGAAGATGAGGAGACTGAGAATTAGATATGTGTAGCATTAAACAACGAACCGGACCAGACACCCGCGGTACCGCTGCCGCCCCGCCGAGACCCTGGCGGCCCTGGCCGAGCACACCGATCCCGCCGATCCCGCGCTGCCCCCGACCCCGGCAGATCCCGCCGATCCCTCCTGCACCCTGCTCCTGCCGCACACAGCACCCCCCGTCCCGCCATGCGGCCCGGGGCAGCTGCTGCCGCTGCTCCACTCTCCGGACGCCGAGTCTGCCTCCGAGAAACAGAAGAAAAGAACAATTTGGACTCTAATGAAACTAAATTAATAACAATAAGTAGTTTGTTTGGTTCAGCAGTAAATTGAAAGTCTGTGCAAGTGAAAAACCTGTTTATAAATACATCAATAGAAACCTTTTTAAATTCTGTTTTATAGGGACACCCTCAGACACTAAGAGAATAGGGTAAATTTAAAAATCCATATATCAATAAAGACATATTCATCTTTAAGAAATAAAAAACGGGGAAATGTAGCATTAAACCTGCATTATATGGGAAAACTGTGGTTTAAACAGGTTTTAAAATGGCTTTTGGTGGTGTCTTTGCAAACACATGCTTCTTCTTCCCAGCACCCCCCACTGTTATCCATGCAGGAATGTCCTGGGAAGGTGACCTGAGGTGTGTCCCATTGGCCTTTGTTAACCTCTTCCTGTGATTGGGTGCTCCTGTAAGCCCCTTGAGACTTCTAATTGGTTACTCTGTGAATCCTCCTAAACCCTATAAATGTAACATCCCCCACAATAAACTCTCTCTTGCCTCCTCTCCACGCCCAGTGTCCTGTGTCCTGTGTCCCTGCCGGCCATGGGGCCACGTGCGGGGGGGGAGGGGGAGCACCTCTCCCCTCCAGGCTCAGGGTCTGAAAAAACCCCTGAGAAACCCCTGGAGTTCCCTTCCCCATCCCTCAAAGCGTCGCAATGGTTCTTCAGATGGAAATGGAACTAGAACTGTGCCAGCCCTACGCCGTGGATGGGAAAAGGAATCCAGAAGATATATGTCATCTTAGCTGCAGTTCTTAGAAACAAATAAACCCAAACAATGGGTAAGCAGAGAGAAAATCACAAGAAAAATGAGTGTTTGCCTCATTGGATTTGTTCAGAGTAATTGGTGTCAAACCAATCTCATTTCCTTTAATAGTAAGATAATAGATTTTGTGTCACATCTTGACTTCTCTAAAGCTTTTCACAGTATTTCATCTCACTTTCTTGTATATAAGCTAAGAAAATCTAGATGAAAATACTAGGGTGAATACAGAACTACTTGAAAAACTACTCAGAGTAGTGTCAAATATTCATTCTCAAAATAAAAGATATAAAAAACATGAGCCTTACGGGAGGCTGCCTTAGGTCTGCTATCAGTCATTATGAATGGCAAATGACTTAGTGTACCTACTGGATATGCAAATAATGTCAAGTTGGGAAGGAAGGAAAATGTAAATTAAAAAAAAAAAGTTAACATTTAGAGTCTGAAAACCAACAAAACCAGTTGTCATGGTTTGAGCCCCAAAAATCCAATTTCCAAGCCCCCTGCAATTTGTTTCAGTGTGAGAGAAGTTTTCAGACATGCACAACTACCAATATGTGGGAATTATATCAAAGTTTATTACTAACAGAATAAAAACTATAGAAACTAAAAAGCAAGTAAATACACAGTATTCATGCAATTTATACCACCCCTGGGGCCCTCCCACATCATTCCAGAAGAAGAACCTTCAGGACGATAGCTAAAGTCTCTCATTGGGATACCGTGAGTTGGGCTGCACCCCTTACCAGCTGCTCGGCCTCTGCCGAGGCTCCTCCTGGACTGCAAGGGAACACTTGCTTCACCAGGTCTGCATCACGAGCTACAGGGAGCTTTCATTAAAGACCTTACCCAGAAAAAGCCTGCTTGGTTTGGCTTTTCTCTGTCTCAGCTGTAGCATCAGCTTGACTGCCATGTGGCAAGGGGGGGGCATCCCCCCCATTCCTCATCCTTTGATTTTTGGCTGCCCTCAACCAAACCTCACATAGGGCACCTCTGGGCTCCCTCTGCCTGCCTCTGTTGCTCCAGACGGAGCTCAGGTCGCTCCGTCCCCCCACCATTGCAGGGGAGGTGACAGCAAGACTGCTTAAAGTTTCTCTCTCTCCTCTGCCTGGAATTCTTTCTGCTCTGCTTCACGATCGCTGCTGCTGCCTCCCCCACTCACAGGGGGGAGAACAGCAAGGAACTGCCGTAGCCCTGGCCACAGCACCGGGGCCTCAGGGTGCCCAGGAGCACCCCTGAACTCGGGGCTCCCCTCAGCTACCTCACGGCTCCAATTCTCTCTGCCAACAACTTCTCTCTTCTGGTCTGTGTAATATGCTAATTTTGCAGGGGCGAACTGCAGCTCTCCATTGGCCCTGCATCAGAAACTTACTTGGGATTAACCATTTCCAGCCCCAGGGGAGGCTAGACAAGTCAAACCACGACACCAGTTTCTATTCAAAAAGAATAAACACAGACATCTAGACCTATGGTGGGATAATCATCTGCAAAAATGTAGTACTGGAAAGAATTTTACTGGAATTAGAGCTCCATTAAAAAAGTCAGGAGCTATAAAGGATCAAAAGCCATATGTTACAAAAAATAGGCAAATGAACTTCTACAATACAGAAGACATCACTTACGAAAGCCAAACAAAATAGCCCTTCTACTCTTCTCCACACTATCAAGGCCTCAGCTGAGTACAAGATTCAATTTTGGGTCCTGTACAGGCAGAAATATGTAAGCCAACTGAAGAAAGTTCAGAGCAGTGAGAA